TCGTCGTCGTGGTCGTGGTCGTAGTAGTAGTAGTAGTAGTAGTTGTTGTTGTTGTCGTCGTCGTCGTCGTCGTGGTAGTGGTAGTCGTATACCGGTAGTAGTGGTAGTAGTAGCGGTAGTGGTAGTGGTACCTGCGTGCATCCATGGTCTTGACTTGGGTAAGACAGCTGGTGTGTGGGCAGCGTAGCCTTGAGACATCCCGACCCCGGAGGATGTAGGAGTTTGAACACTGACGTTTTTCATGAAAAGATTTGGCTTTATGATTTAGAAATATGGTTCTGGTTTTTGCACTAAAATTGTCAAAACGTATGAGCACATTATGGTGGCTACATTTCCAGTTGTATGGTTCATAGTTTTTCACGCATGTTTCACGAAGTTTAGGAGGTTCGGCTCCTACATGTTGCATATTATCGTATTTTCATCAAAAAGACACAAGCTGAAACCACCCAATTTCCCGTAAAAAGTTCATAGATACTTCCGAAATGAACAAGAACCCAGGTATTTGCCGGGCTGCACAGTTTGGGATGTCTCAAGTGTAACCGTTTCAACGCGCCCTGCGGACTGGAGTTTGAGCAGGTGTAGCTGTTGTCAGCCCTCTGCTCCGCATGGGGTCGCAATTGATTGTCGAACAGGCGAGAATGTGCAGGAAAGGCTAGCGTGAACCTCCCAGACAATCTCCTGGATCTTGACAACCTGGCGGAACTTGCCGTCGTCGTTAGCTCTTGTCATGAAGCTGCCGTTTCGGCTGCTGGTTGATTTTGAATGCATCATTCTGAACGTCTGACACTCACTGCTATCTGAGCTCTTCTCCTGCTCTGGCCTCGCATCTGCATGTTTCCATGTCTGTGACGTGACATTGGCCCACGGGCAAGAATGCTTTTAATTTGATTCTCCACACGACTCTGTCGCCCCGAGCTGTCTTGCAACACTTCCAAGTACACACGTGCTAGACAGCACTGTATAAACCAGCGTCAAGCTAAGTTCATGGCTTCATCCTGAAGTAACAGCATGCTTGGGTAGTGTAGGGGCCAAGCAGAGTTTGCATGTCTCGGCACTTGCGGTTTGCGCCATATAAGCCATGTCGAAGCTTGCACAGTGCTGCCTCGAAGTGGTGTGCAGGAAAACCGCTAGTGGCTAGTGCGCTAGTTACTGCTTGGAAGTCCCAGCAGATTTTCCGTGGATTACACGTGTAGGATGATCTGCACTGCAGTGGCTTGCTGTTGTTCACAGCTGTGCATGGGCCCCTGGACTGTACTGAGCCGTGGGGTCTCTTCATATGTCACATAAGGAGGGACCTAAATCTGTACGTCCCCTCATGCGACTAAAGCGCACGCCTGTTTGTTGCTGTGAGCACGGTGTGTCACAATAAGCACCTTTGCGGATCGCAGTTTCCAGTTGAGAGTGTTGTTTCACCAGTTTTGATAGGAGAAATCACTCGTGCAAATGGCTGCGTCTTGATTTCTTGTTCTCGATTCCTGCAACTGAGACGCCATGACGGAATGCAGTTCGGACGAAGCTAAGCAAGCACTGCGGCTCCGATGTTTTCCAAGGTTGGCCAACCTCCGTCGCGAGTTCTGGGGCGGAGGGCGAGGGGTGGAGTCGCTCGGCACCGGTTGTGGTCCATTGCTGCGCCTTCATGGGGGCCTCTTAGTTCTGGGTGCTTTCAGACTCATGTCCTGCTTGAGCCACATAGTAGAAGACGTTTGGACCTGTCAGCCAACGAGGGACTGATGCTTGAGAGAGAGTCCATGATAGATGCATCCCGCAGCCAAGCAAACACTTTATTTGTCAGGATTCGGTCAGATCTCTATGAGAACACAACTGACACCTGCCAATCCTGTGTCTCCGCAACATTCTGTGTTGGACAGTTTGGTGGCTGACAGCTTTTCCTGGCTAGCTGTGCAGGCTAATGCGCACGATCATGATCCTCCACTCTGTGTGAAGGAGTTTAGTCTCGGCACCCTTCCCAAAGGTCCAGGGTACAAAGTGGTGTTGAGTCAGGCGATGGATCATCTTGAGGGCAATCTGGTTGGCAAGGGGCTCAGCGACTGCAAGGCAGTGGTCATGTTATTGCAGAACCATCACTGGGAGAAAGCGACCTATGAGTGCCCAGCTGCACTCGCGTGGATACGCTGCTCCTGCGTCGCGCAGAGCTTGTCTTCCTCAGCACCTTACCAATTGCATCATCCGACACCCCCGGACTGCTTCTGCGTCCGTCTTTTGAGGAAGTGAGGCTGCTTCGATGGTGGGTTAGAGAACTCGTGCCACCTCAGAACGGCTTCAATGCTGCTTCAGGATCGATGTGCACCAGGCCTGCACTGAGGCGTGGACAGGAGTGGTGCGACGGTGGGTCACCGATCCACGACGATGGCGAGATTTTCAAGCTTTTGGATCGGTAACATTGTTTCCAATCCATCCTACCCCCCCAGGGCTACAATGACATGTTGTCCTATTCTACCAAACCCTGACGTGGTCGCACGCATGGATCTGTTCAGAGAGGCTGGGGACATGTTGTGGAGTCTATCACCCTTGCAGCAGGGCCACGAGCTGCATGGTGGCCGACATCAGGCACCTTGATCGGTTTCCTGCGCTATGGCAAGTTACATGGCATCCTATCAGAAGGGAAGGAGGATCAAGTCGATATTGATATCGACCTTCTCGTGGTGAGAAACAGCGCTAGCGCCTGGTTTGACTTTTGTTATGTGATGACACAACAACTGGTTCAGCGAGGATGGCTGGGTCGCGTGCACGTGTTACGAAAGAAAAACAACAGCAAAGACGGTCACCAGATGGCCTGGAATGGTGTTGATATGAGGGGCTCCGCCTTGTTGCACTGCGCTTTGCGCGAACCAGACTCCGTTGTAATCCTAAACATCAATTGGGCCGTCAGTGTGATTTTTCGCCGGGTCATCTGTGGCCTGTCCATCAGCACTGACAGCTGCAGGTGTGGCTTGCAGAGGCCAGAATCTTTATGGAGACGTGGAAGAAGCGCCGCACACGCAGGCCCCACCCACAGGCCATCGTCGAGAATTTCGCTTGCGTAGAAGGAGGGTCCCGCTGCTGGTCTCTCTCTGAGATGTTTCAAAGCTGGCCCGGCGGAGTGCTGCCCGCGGAGGAGCGGCATCCGGTGGCGCGCTGCGGCTCCCTCGACGGCTCGACATTGGGCACGCCGTGCCCGCGAGAGGCGTCTGAGATTCTGAGAGATCTTGATACGCGGGCGAGTACTGGCGTTCGGACGAGCGTCGGCCGTGCCTTGCTATTCCCGACGTGGCTTGTCCAAATCCAGGCTTGGGATCCTTGGCTTGGTTGACAGATCGCATTGTCCAGGATGCTCGAAATCAGAAGCTGTCACAAGGGCTCATTCGGCAAGATGTTCGCATCTTGCATCGGCACCAGCTTCAGCTCAGAGCTGCAGGCTTCGTGTCTCACAACTTTAGCAGCTGCAGGTGGAGACACTGCTTGAGAGTCTGGGCCCAGGCCGAACATCGCAGACACTCTTGGGTCCATGGTAATTCGCTCAGCGCAGCAAAGTTGCATTCCACAAGCTGAGCTTGCACATTCGGGTTTTCAAAGGCAGGCCCCTCGGAATGTGTACGTCCGGGCTGTTCAATGCCTGTCACTTATCAGCCCGGGGATGTCGAGAACGTTTGCGGCAGCATTTGACCATGCATTTAAAGCATCAGGTTTCTAGCTCAGCTGGCAACTCACATGAGCCTGAACACTCAGGACTTGTGGGCAGAACAGACTGAGCTGTCCCATGAAAGGTCACAATGACAACGGCTACCAGTAGCAACCGAAAAAGACTCTGACAAAGCTGTCCCAGCCCAACCTGCGAAGTGTCAACCTGGGGTAGCAGCTGTAGCACCACCACTGATTCTCTTGTATATCAGGGAAGATAGCTCGGTGGAGCTCATGGGAGTTGTCGTTTACCGCATGCAGGAGCTTATCTGGTCAATTCTCAATTGTTAATCTGCGGACAGGGGGCCCCGTTGTAGCAATCGAAGAATCGACAGAGCTTCTCGTCAGCTTCAGGCATCTCGTGGGTCGCGTGCTCCGTGAAGGCAAGGCGAGTTTGAGAGATTTTGAGAGGATCTTGCTCAGTTTGAAAAAGTCACTCACACTCTGTGATTTCTCTACTCACAGTCGGACATTCAACCGACATTTTGTCGCGCCAGAATCAACGCACCATTCCCGACGAAGCTTGACAACTCGCAAAGTCTGGATTTGAGACAGCAGTGCGCCCAAAAGTACAGCTTCTATTTTCGAGAACATCTTGTAAAAAAAAAGTGGAAGCTTGTCGGAAGGGCGCTGCTATCCGACGGAGCCTAGGGTCCCAGGCTTGGTTTTTCTTCTTTCGATCGCATCGTCGGAGACCTGTGAGCCACGAGCCACGCATGCTAGAGTGGCTCATGCTTGGGCATGTAGGTGACAATCACTTTTCTGATGCGGTCAGATAGCCGAAACTTCTGAAGTGCAAGCCCTCTTGAGATGTTGACCCAAGGTTTTTGTAGACGTCGGAGCTCTTTGACCGGCCCTCAGACTTTGCTTCAGCTTCTGTCACTCCACCTTTGATTGGAGATCGTGTAGAAGGCGGCAGGGAGAGAGGTGTTGTTGCTGAAAGGCACGGGCGGGGGCCACAAGCTCTTCCTACAAACTCCAATGCCAATTCTGACAATTCTGCTCTGTGCCAAGCGGGTGGGGGGGGGGGGGGGGTGGGGNNTGGGGGTAGCATGGCTGAGGCCCGAGTTCGGTTTGCAGGCGGACTTAAGCCCAGTAGAAACAAAGAGAGGTGCATAGGTACAGTGAACATAGGTACATAGAAACATGGACAGACTCACAGAGGTAGGCCATCAGGAAGGCAAGAAGTCTGACAGAAAGGTGGTTTGCAGTGGCAGAGTGTGCGGGCCATCTGAGGCCATGCACACGAATGCCTGAGCAAGATACTCCTTGCTGAAACGGCGAGGAAGTGCGGAGGCCACAGTTCAAGCCATCTGAATTGCCATGTTAGTAGCTGCTTCTGTTGCTAGGGTGATGGTGCCAACCAGTCTACTTCTCCTTTGCTGACAGTATTCTGCGACTCACCAGGTTTCACTCGTATTTTGATCCAAGGCACCTGGAACTGAAACATGTGCATCTTTGGGATCCACTCAGTTCCAAAGGCATCAGGGGAACAGCGATCTTGGAACAGATGCCAATCCTGCCGATGATGCTGCGCATGGGGGCGAAGGGTTTTAAGGTGTGCGGGTCTTCCGTTACCAGTTGCTTGGGGTATCGCTCGAGCGTGAGGCTTTCTCGTACCTCGGAGGTCGGAGTGGGCGCATCTTCGTTGACGCCCTGGAGCCCAATGCCAGGAACTTTCGATCGACGAAGGCGAGGGTCCATGTTTTGACGTCGCACGTGCGTGCGGCTGCAACAAGAGGCACTCTGAAACGAAGAGGCTGAAGTTGAAATCAGCTCCGGACAGTTCGGAGAGTCTGCGATAGGCTCAGCTACGCCGCCTCCCCCGCCGGTGGCACCGGCGGCTGCGCCTTCGGAGGGCAGCCGCCGGCAACACCACGACGAGGGTCGACAGGGGAAGAAAGGTTGTTGCTACCAGTTTGGGAAATTGGGTTCCGAGCATCGGGGGTTGCGGCTCGGCCGGTTGTGAACCAAGCGTGTTAATTCGAGGTCGTATTTGCATCTGAGCTCCGACGCCTGAACTATATTCAAGACATTCGAGATGCTCCCGTGCAGGCTACCTTGCACGGCACAGGGGCGAAGGCATCGCTGAAGGCTGGCTGTCTTGGGCCTGAGTTTCAGGCATTCGAGCTAGAAAGTACACAGTTTCAGCACAGTCAGTCCCGAGAGAGCGAGAGAGAGAGGAAGACTCGCAGGAAGACCGTCTCCGGATATGTTGGTTGGTCGTTGTCATGTTTACTCGACCAACCCTGCTAGCAATTCGTGACGATCTTTTGCTGTGACTCGTGGTGAAAAACATAAAGACCTTCTGCGATCATGCATTACGGGGGGATGTATTTCGACGATGTCGAGCCTACAACTGAAAAGTTCTTTCGCGGCCGTGGCCCAACCCTGCGATCCTCCCCAGCACCGTGAGTTTGCACTGTACGTTCACCAGCAACCTTTGCGGCTTCTGGCAAAGCATGTGCCGGGGCCCGAACACATCAGCCGTGCAGGCCGAAGCTTACGGCAGGAGCCTCATTAGATCAGCCACGACCGTCTTGGTTCTTCGAGGGTTCTTGATTCCGGCTTCCTTGCGTAGGCAGGTATCAAGCGCGGATTCTGTGTCAAAGCTTTGTGCAGAAATCACTGTGCTGGGGTCGGTAGCTTTTCAAGGTGAATTGAATCTAAAGCCGTGCATCCCTTCACCAAGGTGGCCTTTCCTGGAGCTTCAAACCCAGCACGGGCAAAATAGTTTCCTCGGCGGATGCACGAAAGGAGCAGGCCGCATGAGTGGATATTCGCGACCGAGGCAGAGAGAGAAAGAGAGAGAACGCTCGGACGACCCCCTAAGCCCTGCAGAAACAAAGAAAGATTCAGAGAACATTCTGCCAGGTGTCCGTGATCCGCCTCGATTCTTGGGTCTCTTGGCAGCCAGTTTGCAGAAGCGTCGCAGGGTTGTACCTCTAGATGTTCACAAGGATTCATTGGACCATCTCTGAGAACTCTAAGCCTCGCTGGCCAGAAAGCCCAAAGAAGCATAGGCCTCCAATCTGAAAACAGCAGCTCCAGGTGGGAGCACGCTTGCGGGCACGGGGGCGAGTCGAGGTCGGGGCTTGGAGTGACACCTAAGTGATTTGAGGGGTGAGTCTTATGTGCGACGGCCTTGGCTTCAAGCCTTTCCAGCGGCAGGTCTTGAAGATTGACGTGGAAGGTGGGGAGTGGGAGGTGCTTTTGGGAGCAGAGGCTCTTTTGGTCGAGAGGCGTGTGCTCTGTGTGGTCTTGGAGTACTCGCACTTCTGGGCCGGCGCTAGCACGCACATCACTTTGAAGGGTCTCGCGCGATGGATGTCGGAGAGAGGCTACGACGGCTACCTCGTGGGCAGCCCTCACTTGATTCCTGTGAGTGGTGTGGACATGCAGTGGTGGCACGACCTCTACGAGGTCTGCGCAGCACCAGACTCCCGCATCTACCGTGGTCTGGCAGGCTGGTGCTGGCTCAACGTAGCCTTCGTCCTGCGAGGCTCCAGGCTTGCGCTTGCGGCCCAGAAGTGGCTCCCAAAGATGGGCGAAAAAGTGTTCGAAGGTGCAAAGGACCAGTGCTACCAAAGATGACCGAGAAGAGCTCTCCCAGCCTGGCCTCGTCTCAGAGTCGCAACTCCTTCGGAGACCCTGCGAATGTCTGCAAACTGCTGCTTCAGGAGAGTGTAGAGATGGCCCCTAGGCCCTAAACCCTTCAGTCGACCGTCAACCGCAGACGAGATTGACCAACTTTCCAATAGAGGAGTCCTCGCGAGACCCGTGGCCATGGCCTGCAGCCCTCGAGCAGAACTGCAGGCTTGCATGCATCCGCTCTAAGTCTAAGTGCTTCAGGCTTTCGGATTGAAAAGGCCGGCCATACGCGATCAGGGCCTCCTACAGACCAGAGCTGACACGATCGTGAGCAAACAGCTTCGATCATGCCTGCCTAGCGCAGGATCCAGAGGCTTCCTGCAGCGACGGCGAGGTGTGTTGCACAGCGCTCGCTCTTGCTGTGATGAGAAGCAGTTGAACTTCGCCTTTTTGTATTGATGTAAGAACATCAGTTTCATGCAGTTCGTCTTGCTTCTGACTCAAGCGTGGATGGAACTGGCTGGTGCAGCAAAGCATGCATTCGATTTGTCTTTGTGCTGCTCTTCACAGTAAGGCTCCGTTTGTTACGTTGCGCAGATGATTTTTTGCTGTTGGAGGTTTGGTTTGCTGTGCTCCGCAGCAGAAATACCGGCCACTGAAAAATACCTTTGTTCCACAAGCCCGTCAGTGTGATTGTCCAGCCGGCAGAAATCAAATCTTTTGTGCCGTCGACATTGCCCGAAGTGTTGACGCCGCTGACGGTTGTCCATAATCGGAATTTTGATTCTTAGCGGAGCTGCAGAATCTGAGACTGGCCACTCCGAGTTGGGCAAGAACATGGTCCTTCGAATCCGGATAATTTGACTCTCTGCAAACAGGAAGAGATCAGCCCCTGGAGCCTGTGGTGCGAGGAGGCTGAACAGGCCCGGGGTGCCTCCGGCTTTCATCGGCTCCGGGGTCTGCAGGGCCTTTCGATTCAGGGAGACCTCCCTGCTACCTCAGAGTTCCTAGGTCCTAGGAGCTCATGCCATGTCGGGCAAGACAAGCTAGAGGCTTCATCCACAGCTTGCATCTTGCATCCTGTACCCTGAGCTTCAGCGCTGGCACAGGAGGCATGCTGACGGAACGGTGTGCTTCTTCCAAAGAGAGAAATCAATGTTCTACATTTCAAGACCACCCGTTAGTTGCAACCCCCATCCAGTAAACCCCTCGACGCAGGGAGTCTGGCCGCGGGACTTCGCCTTCCTCCTGCGCAGCCGAAGCCGGAGTCCGCGCCGCCGCCCAGGGCGCCTCGCGCGTTCAGTCGAGGCTCATTTTTCTCAGGTTCGCACGACTTCTGGAAAGGATTCCTGGTCAAGGGCTTCGCCTGACTTTGAATGCCACCTGTACCAGTATTTTCTGCTGGTGCTCTAGCAGCCTCTAGCAGCACTCCTCTCTGCATTTACAGTGCGGCTTTCACCCGACTTCTCACATGTTGCACCGGCATTTTCGGAACACAGAATCTGCTTCTCATTGGCCACATGTTTACAGAGCAGGAGGTCCGAGCCCTCATGCCACAGCCCTTCTTCTAATTGCATTCTCAAGATACACACAGCTGAAGCTTGTTGGAGTACATGGGAGGCTGTCAAGTTTCCAAGATACTGCCTGCGTCTAACCTTGTTCGTGCGATTCTTGAACAGCAGAATAAGTCGAGGCATTGCGACCCCCCAGTTGCATGATGTTGCATAGGTCCGCCTGGCGAAAACACCAGCCTTCGGGTTCTACTGTGACACAACGGAAAGCTTTCCTCGCCTCTGCAGGATGCCGCACCGGAGTCGCCACCGCGGCCCACTTTGGAGCTGGAAAGGCCGTGGAGGCCTGCGCTCAGTCGTTTCTGCGTCCCCGTCCGATCCAGCTCAACATCCGGGGCAACTTTTGCAAGACAACCCAAGAGTAGCCAAGTGCAGGCCAAGAGTGCCACGGCATGCGTCTACAGAATAGCAAAGTTGATTGCACACATAGCTTGGATGACTCGGCGCAGAACGCTTCCAGAAAGAGCGTGAGAGCTCAGCATCAGCATGTGGAATACATGAGCGCAGGCAAGTTCTCTCGTTGGCCCCTTTTGCACATGTGGGGCACTCAGAAGACAATCAGAAGACCAAGTCCGCAACAGAAACGCTCACTGTCATGTTCAGTTGATTGTAGCCGGCCGCAAGAGGCTTTCAGCAGGAGCAGGTAGCCTCGCACTTGCTTCCAAGACGGAGACGGTGAAATCGACGCCATGGTACTTACTTTCCAAACCCTCAGTTTTCTGCCGGCGCCTCAGAAGCCACAGGAACTGCTGGAAGAGCTGGACCCACTCCCTCCACCCAATCCACGAGATGGGTTTCTTGCAGCTCGTCCCCTCTTGAGTGATGGAGCCGACGAAGATGCATATCGACGTGTGCGAGTGGAGTCGGAGGGCTTCGGAGTGCCTTCACTGGAGTCTCGCCGGTCGTTCTTCTCGGAGAACTTCCCGGACGTGTCCAGCAACGAGAACCACCCGCCCAACCGGATCTTGCACAACTTTCACATCGCCCGAATGGACAAGATGCTGAAGGCGCCCATCGACATTTGAGCATTCTTGAGCCGTGCCTGAAGAGACTCTCAGCCATTCTTCCACAAAATACCGGTGCAAAAGCCAAAGCTAGGAAAGAGCCCTGCTTTCGATCCCGACACCTGCATCTAGCCAACAATGGGCGCCGATACGCCACTTGTCTAACTCCATCAGCAACCCGTCCGCAAGCCCTGGAAGGAATTTTCGACACGTTCGGGCAGGTTGAAGCTGAAGAATGAGATAGCTTCGCGCAGGGCGCCGAGTGCTCCGGACGCACGGGTGTGCTGAAGCCCTCTGTGCAAAGGCAGTTGTCGCAGAGCCCTGGCTGCACATGGAAATGTCTGAAGCTGTCGGTGCTACTAACACTGCTTTCTCGATATTCCAACCAAGATAGAACACTGCAGGAGCATCACACGGAGGGCGTGGTAGTTCTGGTCAGAGACTGGCGCTTGCGAGGATAATTTTTCGGCAGGAGGGGGTGCCTGCAGAGGTGGCAGTAGACAAGTGCCATCTCAATGGAGCGCAGCTACCCCAAGCTTCAGGGGCTGTTCTGGCCCGACCAGAATGAGAGCCTTGCGATGCTTCCCCAGCAGATGTCCACCTACTCCTGCAAGTGTTGCAGGTTTACCTGGAGCCTTGCTTTTTGTTGTCTGGTTGGCCTCCTCTGCATATATAGGCCGGCACCTATGATGATTTTCAGAAGTATCTGAAGTTAGAAAACCACGTCCTTGCATGTTATGCCAGAGGATGCACCAACCTTTGTAAGATGTCTTCACGGGGAAATTCCCACTACATGCTTACACTCCCGACCCATTCCGAAAGGAATGAGGCTTGTGTGACACTTGAAAACGACGTAGAAGCCCACCCACGGGCAGGGCTTGTCCACGCCAACGTTTTATCTGGCTCAGAGATTCCAAATCTCTCTTCCACTCTTGAAATGAATGCACGGGGTTGCTCTTCAAAATGGAGAACAGCCCCCGACTAATCCGCCTAGTTGAGCGGGTATTTTGACAGCCTCTGGTCGGAGGCCCCAGTTTAGAGAAGACTTTAAAAACCGCTCGGGGCTGATTCGCCCTCACGTGATTTTCGACCTTGCTGCACATAGATGCAGCTTGTTTTGTTCCAGACTCCTCAGACCGTCGAAGTGATCAGCGCCGCGAGTTGTGAAGCGTTGTCTTTGGGACTCGATTGGTTTCTCTAGGAAGAATGTCTCTGCATGAAAGTCGACGCAACAAAACTCAGACTGCAAAGTCTGCCCGAGTCTCATTGAGGTTGATGAGGAGGTTCTGTGCGTGCACAGGCCCTGAAACCTGAATCCTGGACTCTGTGCAGGTAACATTCTGCAGTTGTCGCAGACCCCCCAAATTGAGATGCCCAAGGCCTTCATCAACAGCCCGGTATGAGCTCTACTCTAAGCTTCAGGCGTAAGTGTAGACATGACCCTGCCAATGGAACTTCAAGTAGAATGCCAAGGCTGCCGCGCAACCGTCGCAGCAGACCGCTACGCTTCTGCAAGAGGCTATGGACTTGACAACTGGTCGAGATTCACGCGGCTGCTGTGGTTACCATGTGCAGTGTGTTGCGGATGGTCAGAGCACAGAGTGCAGTGTGGCTGTTCAAGATGTTCGGGAAACTACTACCGGCACCGTTGCAGTGCAAGTGCTGCCGCTGATGCTGGTACAAGTGCTGGTTCTGATACGACAGTTGATCGCGAATGCCCACCCGGTTGGAAGAAAAGTTTTTGCTATCTATTAAAAATGAAATGCTTGTGCGATGGCTGTTGCGACTGCTGCTGATGTTTGGAATTGGAATCTTTCCCATTCTACCTTCCCCTGCTCATCTTCGCCCGATCGCGGTTGCGATGGCGACAGGGACTAACAGACTTAGTAGCAGGCATGAATAATGCTTCAGGTACCGGAATCATCGCTAGACGAATCTTCACAGGAACATCAGTAGTTGCAGGACCAGGCGAAAGCGAGGCTGAAGCTGAAGAAAATCTCCGCTTCGCAAGGAGGGAGCCCAGACCCAGCGTATCTCCAAGGAGACATGCCGGGGCCCCGAACTTGGAGCCCTGGAGCCTTGGATCGGAGATTCCGATGTCAGAGCTGTGTGTTCACTTCCGAAACCACAGTTTTGTAAAGCATGCAAGTAGAGAGAAGCAACTACAAGCAAACTCGCCATCAAGGTGTGTGTGTGTGTGAGTGTGTGTGCGTGTGCTGCAGTTGCTTATCTTTTTTGGGGTTAGGTGCTTTACAAAAGCTTCGTTCGCGATTTAAACTTTCTACCCACTGCTGCTCAACACAGATGCTTGTCAGGGCGTGATGAGAGGACGCCACATGCCAGAGCCTTGGCAGTGTGTCGAAGGTCCGGTGTTGCGAGGGATTCAGTCGCAACATTGACGGCATCAGCATGGGACTTCTCAGTGAGAGTTTCCATCGATGCATGTGAACGGCCAGGCTTTTGGCGAGGGCTACGAACAGAAGACTTTCCTCGCCACGTTGACTGCAAATCCGCTTCTTTGTAAGGCGGAATGACCTTGACCTTCGGGATGCCGCTCCCGGAATCCCACATCTAGAGTGCAGGGCTGCTCATTGACATCAGTTGGGGTTACGAGTTTCAGCAGCCAAAAGATAGAATCCAGAATCTAGAGTCTATAGTGAACATCAGGTCGTCTTTCTCCGGGCTCGGGCTCGGTGTTGCAGAGTATTGTTTTGCGAATTTGTGAGACTGTGGGCTTGGAGCGGCATCACGTGATCCTGGCAGCCAGCAGCCCGATGCTCCGATGGATGGCGAACAGCGCTTCACAAGAGCTCAGCTGATAGCATTTCGTGTTGTCACGCTCGAGTCGCATAGCCGTAAGGCGCATCGCAGCTGCAAGGGCGCTCGGCATCCGCTTTGTACTTTTGTTTTTCGAGCATACGTGATCCAGGTCATGGAAAAGTCATGCAGGCACGTCGGCTCGGCACACTCGCTACCAGGGTGACCGGGAAGCTCGTGGAGGGTTCCTCAGTTTGTGGAAGCCAAAAATATGGACTGTTACAGCGCTTTCCGTATCCCCTGGGCATTCGAGTGCAATCCTCATGTTGGTTGTCAAAGGCTGCAACCACGGCATTCCTTTGGTAGGAAGCTTCCTTTGCCGTTGCTTCTCAAAGTTGAATGTCTTGTAACTGTATCTCAGGATACGTCAGACTGACTTAAAGTTGCTGCTGCAAGGCATCGTCTCTCCTTAGTTTTATGCGGAAGCAAACCATCACAGGACATGCCCTGTGTAAGACACAGGCATAATTCTTTAAGTTGCCAGTGCATTTTCCAAGATTCGTGAGCGACGACTGGATTGCCTCTCCATTCTTAGCCTAGGGTGCTGAGATGTGCCAAAAACTGCGCAGACCACGGGCCTAGGAGAGCTACTGCTGGACTTGTGACGGCAGGTTCCGTTGCTCCGGTCTTCTGAATCCTCGGCTGAATCGCCCGTTTGATGGCAGATCAATCCTGTAGGGCTGCTGCAGTTGGCGTGTCTCTTGTGAATTGGTGAAGACCACGACTGCTTATCACGTCTTGTCATCAGTGATCTACTCAGCGGCCCAGGCAGAATTTGTAGCTTAGTCGATCCGTGCATGAGGGCGGCATTTGTCACTGCATTTAAACATGTCAGGGAGGAGATTTTGTCGGGGTGAACGCTTTCGAACATTTGGAGTCTTTCCGATTCCAAGAGTCGGAGGATGGCGATGTGCAAATCACCAAGCCATTGTAAGCAGGAGGATACCAGTGTGGCCTCCCCCGACTGGGTTCCAAAACCACATTGAGGTTGAGCGGCAGGGCGCTCGCATACGGTCTAATCTGTGAGCCATGAACACCTCAAGCCCGGCACAGGTGAATAGAGATCTAAGAGGCTCTATGGCGAACCCAACAAGATGCTGCGAGACAGCGGACTTCTATGGGACCGGAAGGCCAATTTGCTTCTCATCCGTAAGGTGGATTGAGCTCCGTAGACCTTCCCCGAAGGCCCGTATCCCAGCAGACACCTCCCTGCTCACTCCTCTGGCGCCCGGCGAAATTCGCTGCACGCTGCGCTGGGGCCTCGAGCGCCAGCGCTCCAGACATCTCAAGACTCAGGGCTCCGGAGCCCAAAACACAAGTGCAGAGCTGCTGCACTCAGGGATGGCTGTGTAGAAGGAACGATGCTACTCGTAGCAGCTGCAGCAGCCAATGCCATTGCACAAGGCGCCGCAGCATTTTTAAAGCTCTGAAAACTGAAAATGATACGATGGCACCGCAGTTGTCGCCCATGATGCAGCAAGCATCATGATGGCATGCGTCGTAACATATCCAGGACCGCAGGACACCTACCGGACACGAAGTGCAAGATGCCGCTCCGTTCGAAGAACTTGAGTTCTGCGCAGCAGCTCCTTTGTTGCCAGTTGCTCCGCACGACAAATGGCAGGGAGCCTCTTCCAAGCGGCTAAGCGTAGGAAGCATGGCGAAGCCTTAGAGCCATGTTCGATCGCTCTGAGCCCAAGGAGGACCGGGACCGGGATGTGTGGGATGTGCTTCTGCCAGGAAGTGATCTGGCTTACAGGGTTCCTTCTGCAAGGACTGTCAACAGTGCCTGCAGTGCGCAGTTTCCTCCCAGTGTCCCTCACTCCGCTTGTGGTGGCAGGGCACGGGGACGAGCAACGTTGGGTTCTGCAACATGGAGAACCCCAGGCTCGTCGCAAGGATGCCCTGTGATCAGCCAATCTCAGGGTTAATGAGTTAATGGAGAAGGCTCCAAAAGCGGTGTCCAGGGTCCATACCTTGCTTGCAGCACTTCTACGATGTTTCCATGTTCACTGGCAGCCCCTGAAGTGGAAGCTGAAGCGTGCATCCAGACTACGTGCCCCGCCGAAGAGACTGCGCCAACGGCTATGCCAACAAGCAGAGGACGGGGAACAGGGATTCACGGGGATTGCACGAACGGGCAGCTTTCTGATCTGCTCCCGGCTGAGACAGTGCGGGGTTGAGCTTGGCCGAGCAGTGGGCCATCATTTGCCCCAAGTGTACGTGCAGTTGGTCCCGCGGACCTAGCCCACTCCTCCCAAACTGATAAAACAATATCACATTCCTGCAGACGGCAAGAGTGCTTCCAGCTTTTACATACAGCTCGTTCTACCATCAAGCATTGATCTTGATCTGAGCCTCAATCCCAACACTCGTGTTGTCATCCCATCCAGAAAGCTTCCTCATTCCTGCCACGGCTCGCAGGACTCTTCCTCGACGTTGTCAGGAGGCACTCGCCCTTCGCAGGGTTTTGGCTTGCGAGGAGTTCAGTAAAAGCTGGTCGAGCATTCCAGGTGCAGAGCTCTCGTCAGGAGACCACAGCACTCGCTCCCAGTATAAAGTTGTTCCACTCGGATCTGAGCAGGTACAGGTACCAAATGGTACCAAGCCATCGCTTCTCAGCCTCGAGCGCATCACGAGTGAAGTTATCTTGCCACACACACACACACTCCTCGCATAGCGGGTTTTCACCCCACGTTTATCATCGAGAAAACAGTCGTCAATGTCTGCACACGACGAGCATGTCGAGCACATGCACTCTGAATCTTTTTCCATAGCCGCTTTTCTCCCGGTAAAGTTGCATCTTTGCACAAAGGTATAGAGCGTTCACGATGCTCTTTTCTAGACGATATCGCATGAAGTATAACTAGCCGGATCTTCTTGCAACTGTTGAGGTCCTCGAGTTCGATTGAAGTCCGTGCAGTGAACATAGTCCCTGCCAGTGACAGGGCAGCTGGATCCGCGAACAGACGGCACCAAGAGCACCCGGCTCGGTTTTGCAACTGGTGCTTGTCTTTTCTATGTGTACGGCTGCATCTGCAAACAGCCTCCCTCCCTCCCCTCCCTCCCTCTTTCCAATACCTTGTAGTGTGCAAACCTTGTAAGACTGGTCTCGATGGGCGGAGACGAGCAGAGTCGAACCTGCGGCATGCTCATGCCGAGTGCTTGGAACTTGGAAGGCTTTCCAGGAAGGTCCAGGTGACAGCCCTGTCGAGTATCGAGATGGCCATCGAGCAATTTGTGTCTGGAATCAGAAGTACGAAGCGACGCGACGGCTGTAGCTCTGATTTTGACTCTTCGAGTCTCAGCACCAACGAACAAGCAAGCGCTGAACACGCTTGGCTGTCGTGCAGACGTGACAGCACTTTGTGCCGCTCAGTGCGTGCACGGAAGGCATGAAACCCACATGACACCCTGTCATGGACTCAGACGTAGCCCAGCAGGCTGTTACAGCTGTCAGCATCAGGTGAGGGCTATGACTCATGACCTGAGCCTTTATAACACATTTCGTCAGAGCCCAAACGCAGTGAATCATGTTGTGGGGCTAGTCCAGCATGCCACCCCCGCCCCCTACCAACCACC